ATCCAATACAATGACAACAGACACTATCCGATAACACACTTCCTCCTAATAGTCGACTATTTCATTTAGACAGATGTATTATAATTAATTTTTATTCTCGAACCATAAATAATAATAACACTGTTACCTGTAAAATACGTATTCCTTAATTAGATATCTTAACGACTATGTGTGCATATCATGAATAAGACGTGTAATACAATGATATATTTATTAGCAGACATATCTCAATAGTAATATATAAAATATACTTGCGTAAAACGATAGGATAAAATATATTATGTATACTGCAATAGCGAATAGTAAATTATAGTCCCTTAATAACGATTATGTATAACACGTTATTATCCAATAAAAACACAATTTTCCCATTTGTAACAAACAATAAAAGATTAAGTAAACAAAAAAATGCCCTTAAATTAATGTTATAAAACATTTTATGTAAATACGCATGTGTAACATCAATGTACCCGAATTAACATTATAATATTTTAATAAGTTCATATTATAGAAACAAAGGTTTAGTGTTGGTTAAGCGGATGCAACGCAAGGAAGGTTCATTTGAGAAACATATCATTTGTCTTTTAGGCAGCGAAAAATTCGTTACGACAATTAGCCGTAACGTTAATTAGCCTCATTTGATAAAAATGTTTAAAAAACGTAACGCAGCGCTCGGAATATATAGTAATATATTTGTTTACCAGAATAGACGAAAAATAAGATATCTTCTTATAGATTCTTCTTATTCTTATTGCGAAAAAGCCTATATCTGGAAACCGAATATTATATATTATATAATTATATTATAATCATAAAACTTAATTAATTAAATATATTTATACCTACGTTAAACTGTTTTGCAGGTTTTTTTTAAAAAGTAGAATTAATGTAATGGACCTACGGCAGGGTATGCTCATGGCAGATTTCAAAAATAAATAACAACATCAATTGTCCGGACATACGCATTAGGTTATTACAATCAACATTTACATTTAGCAATAATAATAATTAAGAATATCTAATAAAACGCGACCGCCCTTGGTTCTATTAGGTTACAAACTATAAGAAGTCAACCGCACAATGGGAAACATATTGTAATAGTTTTTCACTAGAAAAGGAGGAGCGGCTCTCTAGCGTTTACATTGATTATTGTACGTTCTTCGATTTAATTTCTAAGTCGCACCAACTGTAAGCGGTACCGTAATAATATACTACCGTGTATACATTTATGAATTATTGTTTTCCTCGGCAATATTTATGAGCGACAAAAAAAAAACAATAACCGTAAGGTCTACGAGAATTATAAATACAATTATTATTATAATTGTTGCGTAGAGTTCATGGCGGGACGACTGCAGAAAATATACATTATCAAGCATAAATCTAATATGCGATAAATCAAAATAAAACAAAATAAAAATGACTTCGTTATCGAGAGATTGCCATACGCCAAAATTAAATACGTGGGCACTTATTACTGTTGTTGAAACAATAACACAATGAAGTCGGCAGAAAACAATCATATAATATAAGTGTAGGCTATACAAAACCGCCATTTTGATAAAAAAAAAATGCGAAATATTCATATTATGTTATACCACTTGAATGTTTTAAAATATATCCAATCATAAAATCGTCGACTTCGAGTGAAATACTTTTATAACTGTTAGTAACAAAAATACATTGTTTCGAGCGATACAGAAAAGAACAAGAAACTGGTTAGTCAGTTTCTAACGATCACAACACCGAATCTAAGGATTGCAATGTAAACAAAAGTTGGACCTGAAAATCATTTAGTGTGCTCACTAGAATCTAAAGACTGATACTTCATTTGAACTACTGTATGATAAGTTTTATAAAAAAAAACATCTGTTAAGGATTGACATCATGGACAACCCGTAAATAGAGCAAACTAGATTTATTATTGAATAAGACAAACAGGACAACAGTGTACAGGATGTCCTATGATAATAACTTAATACCATTGAATCAGAAAATATTACAATGAGTAAGTCCTCAAGGGCCAACCTGTGTTAACCAAATATAAAAAATTAAGATTTGTGTATAAATAATAGCGGACTTTATGGATATTGCGATTGTTAGCATCATAAAATTAGTTTAATGGAAAATAATACATTATTTTTTCTGTAACCAAACACGGGGTTAACTAAAATCTCATTCAACATTTAGATATACGTTGCAAGGTCAACGCATTGGAAATTGAAAGTACGTAAAACGCGTGACATCTATGTTTAACATAATGTTGGTATTGAGTTTTCAACGAATTTTGTGCTTTCTAATCTTGGCATATAATTGACCAAAGAGAGAGACAATATGGCAGAAACCAAAAACTTTACTAGGGTTTGTCATATTAATTTCACCGTTGGAATAAAGAACTATTAAGTATTTCATATAAGCTCCAATTATAGAGTACAAAACATATAAATCATTCTTTTCCTTACAAGTATTTTATAAAATTATAACAAAGGGTGCGCCGTATGCACAACACCCTTCCTACGCCATACTCGTTCTGACGGGCAAAATATATTACCAAGATCAGCTCATTAGTTAATGGGGCAGATGTTAAATTATAACCCTCCGTCTAATACACGATTACCACAGTGATCTGACGTACCAACTTAGCGTGTATTATTTTTTAGGCACGCTGACTTAAATTTTTAACTCACAAAATTATATAAATTAAATTATTGTCGTTTAAGCTAAAAGTAGATTGACCATAAGTCGTCGGAGTAGGTCTTTTAAGGAGGCTAAATGAGCTGGGTCACAGATACGGCGAATTTGAGACACAGACTATATTACATTAAACACAGTGGTAAATCGTAATGTGACCTCTCTAAAATTGTAGCCGATACACCGTTTTGGAAAAATGTCTGGAGAACCGTTCTGTTAGTTGGCTCCGCATCAAATATGCTGCAAAAACGCGAAACCACGTCGGTTCTCGATAACTGTTTAAACCGCATTCACAATTAAAATGAATAAAATCTCAAGATAACCGTTGAATAGAGACGATTAAATATGTGTAATTATCAATGCGGCATATAATGTGCTAGTCGTCGTTTGCATAATATTATAGACAGTGTATGTTTATTAATACGATTTATAAATCAGAGTTATTCTGACGCAAAGGAAATGTGGGAAACAAAAGGATTAGACAAGTGACAACGCCATTGTGGTAAGTATTACTTCATTCTTTGCACTGGACGCGAACTATATGCGTGTGTACTCGAGGGAAAACGAAATTAACTCTTCAAACGGGGATCGGTCGAGCCAACAAGTCGTCGATAAGTAACGCGTATCGATGTAATTGGATAACAATGGAAACGAACAATCATGATCGACAAGTACAAATATAATAATAACAATAAGTAATATAACACAGCTCTGTAGCATTCCCATTATTCGTGTTTAATACCGGACTATTTACAACGCGATAATAATAATTAGTCTATCCGGCGAACGATGGCCGGTCCCCTAAAACAAGTGGATATCGCTTTTATAGTTATTTTAACCGACACCATTTTTGGCGGTACATTAGTCGACGACGACGACAAAAAAAATCCGCTGACCCTACCCACCACTTTTATTAATACCACTATTTAATGTATTCGCCTACTCTCCAAGTAACCACAGACACACACACACACACCGGTCACCGGTTCTTTGTCATCGCCAACAAAATCCGGATTACATAAAAAAATAACTATGGATACGATAAATAAAATATACATGTAATATATTAACACAACAAAGTAGGCACAACGTCCCTCTAGGGTATAAACGATTATTATATCAGATGTATGTTTTATGCGATAACCGACGGATGTGACCGAACAATTCTTCTATTATTAACGTAATTTCAGTCATTACCATACGACACAGTATGAGACAAGATATAGCGGTTAGCCGGTCGTCAGTCATCGTTCGACTATGTACATTGAAATGTATCTCATTAATTGTATTGGCGCGGTGATGTAACGACCAATGACATTGCCGCCGACGTTTTTGCATGCATTTTACGTCCATTCCAATAATGTTTTTACCGCCAAACGAATCGTGTAAATTAGTAACCCTTCGAAGGGCTAAAGAGGAATTTTTCTACACCATATTGTTATCACTATGGAAACAACGTTGTTAACACTGGGAGCCTATATATTTGTATTGTCGCCATGTTCGTTTAATGCGATTTTTCTAACACATACCGTATAACTCGCACTTCGTTAGGTCATATACTGCACCTTGTGCCGGTTAAATATAGACGACACCCCGAGCTGTGTGCATAACTAGTGACAAACTGAAAACAACTAGCATGAGCACGAGCCTAGCCCTAGTGTGGCTTCCGGGTTTGGAAAAGCTTATTGATAACCAGAACTCTGAACAAAAATAACAATGAAAACATAAAAATTCGAATTCGTTTGGGCAACAGCTACTGGTAGCCTGAGTAAACACGATGTCAGGAACGTGTGCGGTATGGACAGTTTCAAGGTTCAGGACTCGGTAGTTTTTTTGAGCAGTCATAAAATAAAAACAAAAGCTTTTTTTTTTAAATGATGTTTAAAAATAGAAGGCAGTTAGAAAGCCAAAAGAAATTACACACGACTCGCTTAAACTTTGTTAAAATATTACGGTTAATTCAAAACGTATAGTTTATATCTAACTCACTCGCGACAGCTAAGGTTTGTAATAATTAAATAATTTTCAAAGCTCAATGAAAACCAAGATTACAAGTTTTAATTAATTTATGTGTCCACAGAGGAAAATATGTTTTAATCTAAATTAAAACGACTAGCTCTTAATTTCTGGTCACACTGGTTATTCCAAAGTATTTCTTATAATATTTTTTGACAAACAAGTTTACACTGTCTGCCACCGGTTGATTTGCCGGCAGTCAATGAGTTTTTCATACACGGCATCACGTGTCGTTATTTATATAAGTATATTTCCCGGTCATTAAAATGTCATAATAACAGGGAACAACAAACCTTTGAATTTGCACAGGTTCTCCTCGTAACCGCGTTTCGACTTCAACGCGTCCCCGTTGGTGCTGGGCTCGTGTGGGTCGAACCCCAAACGGTCCTTGTAGTACGACATGGACTTCTCTGTCCGCTGCGGCCGGTTCGGACTCACTTGATCCTTTTAATTATAATTAAACGGGTTTACAACGATTCTGGACGACCACCACACGTACACTAGTCAATACACATACGCACACGTGATACTGGACCGATACTGCACTGCTGCAGTTGCTACTACTACTACTACTACTGCTGCTATATTGCTGTCTATATAGGTACGTATAACACTATATTCGAGTACAGTTTTCGTTATCAGAAAACAACAACACCAAACTATAGAGTTTGACGCGACAGAGTTATTTTTTTTTTTGGACACCACGGGAGCGCGAGCCTGTAACGATGTAAACGGGACAGCAAACCGACCACTGGTCACACACACATGTCACACTGTATATAGGTAAAGAGTGTATGTGTGTGTATGCACAAGGCGATTCCCACGGGCGTCAATGGGGGAAGGAGAAAAAGGAGGAGGCAGCTGTGCTTTCCTTTCCCCTCTTGTGCGCGCCCCCAAATGGAATTTGCACGTAGCAGCCGTCGACCGAGCGCGGTGTTTGCTCGACCCGTGGGCGAACGGGCCGTGGGCCGCGGGATCACCGGTTTGCCTTACATGGAACTGCATTGTACAGCATAGACGGCAAAGCACACGGTACTGACACCGAGGGTCGACCCGAGGTAATGAAATCAAAAACAATATATGTATCAACTCGCTGATCAAACGCACGAAGGATAACGTAAAGGCGGACGGCCTGAACCAGGAAAATCGTTTGCCTATATCTTTTACAACTACCGAAACGCCCTCTTTGAGGTTATATATAAAATATTCACACATAATACACAGCACGGTCAGTAATACCGCCGCAGTAGTTTCCAAACGAAGGGTTAGCCTATACCTTGATAACCCCCAACCTAGGAGTCTAAGTACGCCAACCGCTTAAGGTCAGCGCGATGACTTTAACAATACACTTTTCAGTGTGTCTGTCCATAGAAGAGTTCCACATTCCCCACGCCTTAGACATTAACGAGCCATTAACTTTTGGAGAAAGTTGGACAATGTACACATATTTATCATACCACGCAAATTTTAAAAAATAACAAACAATCGTATTTAAATTCTTTAAACGGTTCATCAAATTATAATTAAGTTGGATTTACTATTAGTTTGTTGAAAATTAAGTTTAATAAATGATAAAATTGTACAAACTGCAGTTAGTCCAATGTTTTTTTGTTGAGAACACGTTAAATTTCTACACAATATGATAAGTAACTAAATGTACTATAAATAGAAAAAGCTGAAAGTTGTTGACTCACAACTAATTTTCTATGATTATTTTAGCGGTTTACTCGGACGACCGCAACGTGCATTATATAAGAGTCATGACGACTAGCACACTCATCGTTATTAAACGACTCAAATTAAACAAATTAAAAACGAAAATTGAAAACAGTATTCAAGTTCAATATAAGAACTGATCTAAACACAATACAACAATCAATTACCAATCATCAAACGGGATAGAATTTCGATTTTTAATAAGCCCGGCCCTGCCCTAAGCAATTAAATGCCAATAAATGGAATTTCGAAACTGTGTGCAGAAATTTGTTCGAGTCATACTTACACTTTGGTATTATATGGCGATTCGTAGTTCCAAGGCGATAGCAATAGGTATAACCATAACATAAAAATATATAGCGTGTTTGTCATCGACCGAATTACAGAAGCCATAACGTAATATATAAGAAATCGATAACAGCTTGCGGTTATTAGTTTTTTCTAAAACAGTATAATATATTTTAACTGACAGGAAACCGTCATAAGTAGTAAAATATGCGTTTAGTTTTTTTTTTTTTAAATTGATGATTATCGACGTAATATTTCCTCAAGTGTATGCGGTAATACCTTTTAGACGAATAATACAGAATAACACAATATGTAAACGTCCTACGCGTTTTTCAAGTAGGGATGACGGAAAAACAAAATAAAAAGCAAACAAAGCGTCGTTTAATAATTTTTATAGGTCTAATCATGTAAAAATTATACCGGACATCATCTCGTTGCCATGTCAGAATAAAAAACAAAATTGTTCTTCTCAAAGGAAAATCCCAGGAGGAAAAACATACTAGGTCGCTCGAGATCACAATTAAAAACTATATATGTCTATAAATATTCTTTTTTTTCCCATAGTGTCTGATCGTTTGAAGGTTTTACAGAACATAAAAGAATTGGTGAATTTTTAGTTTAATTTGTTTGAAGAACGCATTGTGTAATCTAAAATATATAATTACAAAATTAAAATTATAATAATAATACACTCGTATGCCGGACAGCATGGGAACGTTAAACGTTTAACGAATCATTCAAATTTTAAAAGTAGTTTCCCTAAACATCTTTGTTTGTTCCATTAAATTTTAACGGACTATTCATTTTATCAGTTTCTCGCAAAACTGGGCCAATTGTTTTCATTTTTTTACAAAACTAAAATATTATATAATTTTTCATATGAGATACAATAAGATATTTAAAAAAACACATGCAAATTTGGTTCCAAACTTAGCTAAGGCTGATAATTCAATGCCAACCATTCGTTAAAAAAAAGTATACATTTTTTTCGCGTTTATAAACACTCAATAGTTGTTCGTCATTTTGACGAATCATAATGGAGTACAACTACAAAGAGAACGCAACAATCGACGGTAAAATACAGTGCATTCAATGCACCGACTCGGTAATGATGAATTATGCGAGATCCGCCCATATACAAACGGTAACCAGCATTCGCCTCCCTTTTAGCGTCAACGAGAGTGTGTTGAGACTTAAAAAGGATCCAATAGGATTAAAAATACAGCATTATCAACACTCGGCGTCGTGCGTTAAAATCTTTTTGAAAGGCTTTGTTTGGGGTGAACAAACACAACGGATACAATGTGGGAGATAACTGATAATACAATTGGCGAGTTTTTTTCTGATTGCATAAAATTCTAAAACTCTTGTAAATTTTAATATACATAATGACAAACGTTTTTAATATAAAACCATCGTCCACCCACAGTATAAAAACAATAACCTAAGCGATGCCGAGGAAAACTTCGAAGTGTAAAGAGCAGTTCATAATAAAAAAAATGAGGAGAAAAATCGATTTTATGTCTAAAAGAAATATGTCTGTTTGACCTCGTTATAGAGTAGTTACCGTGTCTCGTACGGTGAGCTTTTACGGCAAGAACCGTGCAAGTTTAGACTGGGGTAAATTCTGTTATTCAGGTACTTATTTTTTAACATTTCTAAAAAATCAAACTGTCACGTCCCTGACAATGATTGTTTAAGAAGAGGAAAAAGTAACATGCGTACCGATAGGATTTCTGCACGTGAGCCTACATAAAATGTCAAAAAGGGGAGGAGGTAATCGGTCTGACATATGACCGATTCGGCGGTAATCGTACGACGAAAACGAGGGAAATGCATTAAAAAAAAGGTGTATGGAGCTACCAGGTCAAAATTAAATATATTGTTTTGTCATCGCTTCGTTTACAACACTGGCAGCTGTTCAGGAGAGTCACTGCGGTTTTTAAAGACAATGGTTGGAGTATAAAATTCATATGCACATGTTTTCTGCGCGGAAGTCAACAAACCGTAAAAATCATCTTCAAAAGCGATTTAATATTTACTTTCCATTGAAACCCTCTCCGTCGCAGCCGCGTCGTCACATTAATTTTATGACTTTTTGCGAAGCACCTCGTGCAATGCGCCAGCCGCCTTACACAAATGTGTGTTTTTTGTAATTTAAATCCGTGATTAACCTAGAACCTGACATACTATCTGCACTGTGTAAATACAGACCACTGCTTTCTCACAGCCATCGTGTACCAAATTCGTCAGGCCGTTATGGGAAGTGTTATATTGAAATACGAACGGAGATCAAATTTATCTCTTGCGTACTATCCTATCTAGAAACCAGTAGCTCAAAACATTGTACTATTTGATTGGGGATCACACTCATAAACGTTCTATTATATTGTTCTTACAATAGGACCTCGTCCAATTATCCGTCCACGGATCCACTTCAAGTAAAGCATCGCAAACAAATCAGTCTGCCGGTGAACTATATGACTCGAGCTCACGATTGTTAATGTTAATTAATGTTATTAACACGTGTATAATAAGAGCTAATTTGAGGTTTTCAAAGATCCGAGCAGTACAAAGTAACGCAATTCTATTACATCGGACAAAGTGAAGTAATTTGTAAGTCGAATATCATATGGATACATTCAAATACTATTAAAGCAAACAGATCAGAATGATTTATGTTAGAGCGCCTACCGCCGTGTTTTTTTTATTTCCTTGACGGATACTGACAGCTACTTTAACGGTATTTTTTTCATTTCAATTAAACGATCAGTTCTTCAAGATAATTACTTTTTTTATTTATAGACATAATACAATCTATGGGTATATAAAACCTAAGCCTACCGTGTATGTGTTTCAATGTGGTCAACGCTTAAACGGTAATTGGAAAACGATCAGTCATCAAGTCGTTTACCGGACCCAGCCGTCCTCGGTGACCGTTTTAAATGGGCACAACACAAGACACTGTCAAGGACGTTATGTGCAGTTTGACTGTATTAGACATTTTTTTTTTCGTAATCCAACGACGGCATAACACAATACACTTGATGATTGTTGGCACATTTTTCTTTCCCTCTCAACGTCGGAAATATATACCATAATAATGAAACCAAAATCATTTACCTACTTGGCGCAATAAAAGGTAATATAAAAGGTGTCTCTGATTTCGTTGATTGACTCGAAGGATGGAATGGTTTCTCTGTATTGTTAATGTACACATAAAATCCATACACATACAAACAAATAACGTACAATAGCGCAAAACCGCCCTTAGGTCCTATAGGTCGAATAACGGGGCAAGTGGTATTATTATTCACATTATTACTGTTGTATTGTCGTTGTGTTAAAATAGGTAAACACAACAATAATTTCCATTGAACCTTTCCGGGGGCTTATGTAAAACACAATACGACAAACGATTAATGTCGACATAACTGTGTTTAATGATACCAAACGGATTCATTGGACTGAATCATTATCATTATTATTATAAAGAAACTGGCTGTAGAAAGTACGGTTTATAGGATTCAGAAAAGGCGCCACGTCCGATGAAAAATTATTGGAAGTAAGTAAACTTTGAATACTTAAATTGATTGATTTAAAGTCATTAGGTAATTGAACTATATAGTCGCTGTTAAATTCGGCGGCTATAACGTTGTCGTGTTTAGTGGTCGATTTAGATTATCAGATTCACTTTTAAACTTATTACACAACAGACCCCAAATTAGTTGGGTGTGTGTGCAACGAAGGGAAAATCTACCGAACCGATTTCGTTTGGCACACGCCTACCTGTCCGGAAATTGTCCGAAATATCAGATAAATATTTTTTTTATTCTAGTCATGCGTACTAGGCGTGAAAAAGGTGTTTTATTTTGGTTTTTTCGATCTATACGTTCGATTAAAACTCGACGTACGATCACAAATTATTTTTTATCTTGTAAAGGATTGCCGTGGAAGTTTTTTGGAGGAAGTTGAAAAAGGTAGTTTGCAACACCGTGAGAATCGATAAAACGAAATCACGCGACGGAGACCTGAGACGTTTGTTTTCGACAGTAAAATCCCACAGCCTTACAAAGCCCCCTAAAACTCAAACTGTATGATAGGAAGTAACACGAAAATTCAGCCAAATAATAACAATAATAAACACGTAGAACCAATCGAGACATTGATTGTCTTTCTCTCATAATAATGTCGCGTAGGTATAACATAATATCAGAAACATTCACGATGATAATAATAATTATTCATAATGACATTACCTACAGTCTGGTGTAAACTGTAAATACCATAATTATTGTTATTATTTCAAATCGATCATTTCGAGGGAGATTACAAGCAAGCTGCAAGTCTCATACGTGACTTTAGAAATACACATAATAGTTTTAGTATAATTATAATAAACATATCTGTGGGTATGAGATCATGTGTGCCCGCGTACTCTATGCGGATACCGCTTCGGGCGGTACCGGTGTATACAGCCATTTCGTTCATTGCACCTCATATATTTTATTATACACATTACTTGTCGGCAGCAAAACAACACTTGGGTAGGGGAACCGGCGTCTAAGAATTATGGATGGGAAACAGAAAAATCGCAATTCTGTGGTCAAAAAGCCTAACCCTCGGGCATAAACCTGTTTGACTGAGCAAAAGGGTAACGTGTCATATGCAAATTAACGAGACCGTTATAATTCAATACGACCAGAGAGGAATTTCGTACCCATCTATCTGCGTACGTACAAATGTACAGGGTATATGGCGAGCGACAAGCCTAGAGTACACCATATAATATTATGTTGTGTGCTACTATTATGGGTGTATATTAAAAAAGAACGAACGACAGCTCTACAGATCAGCTGATGACGGTATACCAGTTATTTTAGAATCGCAGTAGTCGTAGCATTGCCTAACTATATAACTTGTAGTAGTAGTAGTAGCAGTAGCAGTAGTAGTAGTAGTACCCAGTAGTGACAATTTTTGTAATGGTGATAATGAAAACGGCGTGTGGCTAGTATATTACAGCTGGTTTATGGGTGTAAATGAAAAAATAAAGTTTATGTATGGTAGACACTTACATGTTTGTGTAATTTATTTTGTCTATACTGTGTACTTTTCCATGTCTCGCACTACCAACACCGGTATCCGGTCAAATTGTCGCAAAAATATATAAACGGATACGTGAATACGACGGCCTACATACATTCGTGGATCGGTCGTATGTGATCCGTTGCCGCTGATAACGACGTCGGAACGATGACTGAAAGCCGCCTCTCTCTGTCGTCGCCGGAGTGATAACAGAGTTTATATCAAATAATAATACACAAAACAAACATACACACACACACACACACGACGGTTTTCAAAAAAATAATAACAAAATAAAAAAAACCGAAACGACGGCAGCGCGCACGACGACTGCTGGCGTGTTGTTACCTATGGAAACGCGACGGTCGGACGAACATACACACACACAAACATATACACAGAGCACGCACACTTGGCGTACACGTTCTAGACCACCGCCGGTACAAGTGCCGAGCAGATGGAAGGAATTCCGGGGGAACGTGGCGGTGACGGTGCCTTCGACCCCGAAAAGGTGGGGACACAACACGTTTACATTGTTTATTTATCACCGACCCTTTCATACAGGTGGCGCCATCTGCCGGACACTTCGTCCAATGAGCAGTGGATATGATCGCCACTGGTAGGTACCGCGAGAAGTCTCTCATTGAGCGGCCTCACAACTATTATGTACATGAAAATATTTAATATAATAAAATTGATCAATTAAAAAGGTACCGCACAACTGACTAATTTTACGTGGATTTCATAATTTTATATGAATTTGAAAATATATCACGATTTCTAAATTATAATAAAATGACCGACACATTAGACACACATATTCAAGGCTTAAATTAAAAATCTGGCTGTACAAATCCTACTTTGAGTATAAGTTTATAAGTTCATGTTTAATCATTTTTTTACAAATATATTTAACTGATAATAAATTTCAAATTAGGTATGTACTAACATGATAATAATAAGTAAAAGAGGCTAGACTTTTATTGAAAACTTATTAGAAGGCTTGATAATATAGGCAATCTCAAGCGCACATTATTAGCACGGCGTTCCGATTATGCAATCACCATGACGTTAGACACAAACGTCAACGTCAAATATTGCGCCTTTCCCGAGAGAAAATCGTACACTAAACTGGCTTTCTGGTTTTTTAACATCGCTGTCATCATCAACAGTACTCTCTTTGACCTATAGAGACTTGGAAAATCTAAATTTACAAAAATTACACGGATGCTCTTATTTTTAAGTCTTGATAAAATGAAGTTTAAAAAAAAAAATGTCTAATTAGAAATATAGTACAAAAACACATTTGTTTAAAAACAGCACTAAATTATTTAAGGTTTCTTAATAATACCTATCGATTTTCACATTTATTTTAGACTTTTTAAAAACTTTTCAGGAAATGTTTCATTTGGATACATATCTACAAATTGTATCTAAATTGAGTGTATCCATAGATTAAATAAATATTAAACTAAATTTAATTACAGTTAATAAGACTTTTAGAATGGCTTTAGAATAATGGTGTTAATGAAAACTCGAATTTTGTAGTCTTACGGTACCATAAGTGGTTAAAATAAAAGCATTTTTCTCACCCTTCCTTTAATCCAAGACGATCACAAAGAAAGTATAGTAAGATCTATCAACAATAATAAAATTAAAAAGAATAAACTGTATACTAAGTTAAATTAATCAAAACTTTATACACAAGAGGTTAGAGGAAGGGGTAAAAACGCAATCGTCGATTGTCAATCTATAGTGCAATAAATTGAGAATAATAACAGTTGTTTTATTAAATGATGTAATCTTGTAGAACAAATTCGTATATTTCAGACGCAACACATTATATCGTTGGGTTGGATCAAATTAAAAAATGACTAATAAAATATTATTTTTCAATAAAATACTTGTGATGCCTATTTGTACCAAAAATGTGGTACAACATTATGAACATGCAAAGTATTAACCCATAATAATATAATAATAAACCGTATTTTATAATTGTTTTGATCTGACACTTATTTAATACTAACTTATTTTTGATATTAATAATTGATGAAAGTATTATAGGTTCAACAGTTCTTTTATCAAATTTAGCCTCTCTTTGCTGTCGAAAATGTCGTTTTTCGGTTTGTGGAAATATAAACGGTTTATGGTGAACGCGTTTATCTGGTCGATATATAGTTCTAGAGTAAAGGTTATGAGTTTGATGTCACCGGTGGTTGTGTTGGATTAAAAACAAACGCTTGGGGCGGTTAATTCGATTAATACGCAACACTATAATGACTTTGCGTGACGAGCGGATATACATCATAGGAGGGCGCGGTAGTAGTGTTGACTAAGTGTCCGTTAAAAAAATATTTCAAGAGCTCCGCGGTAGTCGTGTTCAAGAACAATCGGCAAAACTTTTCGGCTACACAAACACCGTTCGATGCTATATAGAAAATCTATCCATCTATTCACACAACATCTGCATTTGGCCGTTATTGCTGCCATTCTCACGATAACAATCATTGAATTGTAAACGAAACGCAATATAAACGTAAAACTTTTACAGTTAGGTTCATCTATATTTTATTATTATTCTTAACTCATCATCGCTAAACATAATAATCACATTTTCCATAAGGAACTTAGAAGTCTGATAATTAGGTACCACGACATTGATTTTTTGGCAATTCTATCAGATCATCGCGATAACCTGAAACTAACAGAGCACACATTTTTTTAGACTAATGAATAATTTTATAGCGGTACCGGAATAATATTGTAAATAAAATGATTTACCTACCTAGAAAAAAAATCATACAAGTCATCGTACAAGTTAAGGAGATTGAAAGCGATCGGTTTTTTGAATGTTTTAAACCTTAAAAGCCTGACAAAATTACGTTACTCAAGGTGGTCCGATTTCAGTTCTGCGAAAATATTTGAGTTTGTCGGCCTTTTTTCTGGGTTACTGTGTGAATCGATTTTTTATATTTTAATTAAAATTATACCTCAAAAATAATAAAGATAATTATAATTTATTATTACTATTTAATTATTAAAATTATGTTTAAAACCTATTTAAATTTCTTAATACTTTTACAGAGCTAAATCCGACTTATAATGATCAGAGCAATCCGATCATTATAAGTAGGCGTAATTTTGTCAGGCTTTTAGATCATCTAAATTATTTTTTTGTAAGAACAAAATGGCTTTTACTAGTAAAATAAAAATGTATAAGTTAAAACTACTATTATTTTTTAAATATTGTCTTTTAAAATCCCTTAAAACCCGTCCACTTCAATACCCTTAAGGGTAGAGTTTATATAAGTTGTACCATGTAAACATAACTATAATCATTATTCATATTTTATTCACCCTGGCACATAAAGACACCGTCCTCCAAACTACAAAGTAAAACGAGAGGCCGCCAAAGCGACTATTGATTGAACATACTAAATAATAATAATAATAATAACAATAATATTAGTATATTTAGTTTTTTAAACTAAAAACGTTTCATACGGATGGCCGTGTCACTCTTTGACGATTTACTACGGATAGCCAGAATACAGCTATGCGCTTTGAATACACTGTATTGGTGTTCTTATACAATAATAGTAATCTTATTTTATGTAATATGTATACATAATTATTAAAATAAGACCATGCGGAGTATACTGAATTCAAGGCCACAATAGTTTTTGTTATTATTAATTTTCAAAACTATCATGAATGAAACTGAAATTGCGCCATCCGCTTGGAGATAATACAACAAATATGCGTTTGGTGTCCCCAAGAGCTGCTGATTTTAGACATAGGTATATCAGATACGTATACTACGGGTACTATGGGTATACATTGATATAATCACCCCGGCACTGTAATTGTTATTGACGTGATGAAAACATCATTGTTCTCGGTGTACCGATCCAGCCACTACACCTATAACGACAACAATAGGTGAAAATATTCAAACAAAAATTAACGAATGAACCAGACAACAATGTATTGAAAACAAGCGCGAGGCACCGATCGTCTTCTCGGCCCACAATTTTATTATGTATAATAATATAATATAGTGTAGAAAATTTCGGACACTGCGCACGTACTTTCGCAATACACGGGTAGTATACATATTGGTGAGATTATTGTTTTTAAAACTGCACAACCGCACACGACCGTGAGATTAGAATGAAAGCTTTGGGGGGGATCGATTGGGTTTTTAAACGCTTAATAAGTTTTAGAAATTTGTTCGGTAGATTTTGAAATTATGTATGTTCGGCACCGAAGCCTATGCATAAACGTTTTAGAAAATACAGCAAGTGTAGTAGCACATCTTTTTCCGAATTTGGTGTCGGCGTGTTGTGGTAGTGTATACATATGGAAAGGACCGCCCATGTTGAAAAAAAACACCTAGTCTCAATTGCCGTTCAATTCAACATCGATACGGCCAAGAGTGTTTCGCCTGTCGAGTACCTAGGTTTTGGCAAATGACGTTTATTTGAGTATACATACTAAGTAACCGATGAGGGCAAACGCCCAAGGTGACCGGCACACCGTTTTGATCTGACCCGCAGAGCAGCCAAAATCCATTGACCCCTATATAAAAGCACGTTTCCTGTACGGGCAGTAGGCAGTAGTGTAATAATAATTAACCGTACACTATGCAATTGATGCGCCGAGGAATTTCCCTATGTATTTTGTAGATTCATATACAAAACATACATACGAATCTGTTAAATTCTCGTGACCACGCTGTATAAACACTACAGTTTTCTCTAATGTGTGAAAATGAAACGTCTATAATATATACTTACATATTAATACAACATCTATAAAAAAACGTGTGTAAATAAAACGCTTTCCACTTGTCCCCTCGCTAACGAGGTTAACACTAACCCGCGAGGAAGATTTGACCGTTCTCAAGTATATCAGTCGAAAAAAACGAGTGAATCGTCAATGTCTAGTAGTGTCTACCCAAGACGTTTTTAATAGGTACACACACACACACACACCTGGCACACTAAATGGATGCTGAGAGATCACCATAACGCCATAAAACTTATAATTAGCACCTCTAAAAATTCAAATCAATTAAGGTAATTATTTTTATCTTTTGGACTTTTCTTAAACGTAAATTATTCATGACAAACTTTATTATGTATATTATCTCGAATTTAAACAACTGTTTAACATTTTACAACTTAACAATTTTCATTTAGGTGTTTTGGTCTTCAGCAACGAGGCGACACTGTAAACTGTGTAGTTATAACACAGTTATGTACTTCATACAGAAAGTAACCTAAACCGAATCTTATAGAGGTAACTTATACACCGCATTATAACGGTAGTAAATTATCGTCTAAGATTCTAAATGCGACTGATGTTTCTTTTATGCGAGTAACGTGTAATGGTGGTAGGTACCGCCAGCAAGCGGATTA